ATCATTGCCAACCGCCGCCATATTTTATTTCAATAGAAAAATATTATTTTGTCCTAGGGGTAGAATGCTAGAGCGCTAGGGGTAGGGGTAGAATGAGATGAATTAACGGAAAAATAATTAATAATAATAATGATGGTAATCCTTTATGGAATATTACCGTGATTTTAAACTAAACATGGCACTCCATCTCGTATCATTTTGAATTTTTTTTCTTTTTCTCATGGATTCTCTGAAAAATATTTATTTAAGGGTAAATATGTTTTTTTTTTTTTTTTTTGACATCTCAATTATGTTTATAAGTTTACGTTTCGATAATAATAATAATCAAATCAATTAATTTGCATCGTTTGTAATTATTTTCCTTATTTAAGCAAAGCCAAAGCGTTTTACTACTTCGTTAGTCAAAAGTTTCCAGGGCAAGTGTCCCCCCGAATTAATGAGGATAAAAAAAAAAAATACATTTTAAACGAATGTAAAGTCAAAAATATTTGGGGGTTATTAATTTAGGTTTAAGGGGTTAGAGTACCTGTATCGTGGCAAAAAAAAAAATTAAAAACTTCAATCCTAGTTAGTTCCAAAAACAAACTAACTTAAAAAATTTTATTAAAAACCCCCCGTTTAATAAGTTTTATTTTTTTTTTTTTAATTCTCCTAATGGCTTCCAGTTCTCTCTTCTTGTAAAACAAAAAAAAAAAAAAAAAATTTTTTTTTTAAATATATTTCTGCTTTTTTTTCTCCATCGAAAAATAAAATTGGAAAGTCGGAAAAGGGAGTTTGTGAAAGGGGGAGGGGGTGGGGTGGGGGTGGCTGCTGGCGTATAACAAAAGTGTAACAGCTTTTTATATTTATTTTTAGCCTCATTTTTGTTTTTTTTTTTTTTTTTTTTGCTTTTTCTCGTTATAATAATGATAATAATAATCATAATGGCTGTTGTCGCTCGTATTAAAAAAAAAAAAAATCATACAAATTATTTTTTCGTTTAATAATAATAATAATAATAATAATAATAATAATAACAGTTTTATTTTAAGAAAAGTAGGGAAAAAAAAAGAAAAACTCGAAAAAAAAGTGTATAAAAATTTAAAATTGTCTTTATCGACCAATCGTTTGTTTTTACGTCACCATTCAATATGGCGAATCTGTTGTTATGGCGTCATTATCGAACTTGTGTCTCACTCTCTCTCTCTCTCTCTCACTCTCTCTCACTCTCGTACACTAATAATAATACAACGTCCGTTAGTGATTCATTTTCTTTTAGTTTTGTTTTTTCTTTTCTTACAATTTTTAATTCAAAAAATTATTTTGATAAAAATGTTTTCCGTCGACGTCGGCAAACGACGTCAAATCGTCTCGAAACACTTTCAGAAATAATAATAATAATTATAAATAATAATAATAATAATAAATTTTATCATCGTGTCATGACAAAATAACGTGTTTAAAAATTTTTTTTTTTTTTTTTACTATATATAAACATTTAAAATTTTCACGTTTATTACGTTTAAGGGAAAAAAAACGGGGAGGATAGGAAGTAGGAGGGGGGGGGGGAGGGATACTAAGAAAAAATCTATAAAAAGAATCAAAAAAATTGGAAAATTTTAAAGTTGAAAAAAAAACGGTTTTATATCTATATATATATATATATATTGATCGTTGAAACTTTTTTTTTTTTTTTTTTTTTTGTGGAAGCCATATTTTTATAGTCACGTCATTTTGAAAAACAGAAAAAAAATAAATAAAAAGTAGAAATTATAGTTGAAAATCGAGAGGAAAATGACAAGAACAAAAAAAAAAAAAAAAAAAAAAAAATCGATTTGACTTTTATTTATTTATTTATTTATTTGTATTTAGAGGAGGGAAAAAAAACAAACAAACTAAATTTAAATTTAAAAAATTTGAAGCGTACACGCACACGCACGCTATTTTCACGTATTTACACTTTGTTACATATAATTTTTTAATGATAAATATTATTATTATTATTATTATTATTATTATTATTATTATTATTATTATTTAAGGATATTAAAATGCAAGAATTTTTATAAATTTTCCCGCAAGTTGTTGTTAAGTAAAAAATTTCTTATTTTTATTATTGCATTTTAAGTTATTATTATTATCATTATCATTATTATCATCATCATCATTATTTTTTTGTAATGCGCGATTATTATGGTATTCGTCACATATTTTATTATTATTATTATTATTATTATTTAATATTATAATATATTTAAATAAATACGAGTTTTAGTAAATGAAAGGAAAGGAAACGGTTCATTTCATCTGGATCGAAAGTTCTTCGTTTGTAGTTAGTTTTACATGACAAAATATTTACGCGTTAAACAAACAAACAAACAAACGGGGTTTTATAATTCGTTAAACGGAAATGACGTAAACGATTTCAAATACACGCGCCCAAACGCACTCGCACACGGACATGAGAAATAGTAGTGTCATTATTCTAAAATTGGAATAATTTTTTTAATCTTTTACTAAATGAGTTGGTAAACCTGAGGAAAATTTTAAATCGGTTTTCCTTTTTTTTTTTTTTTTTTCTAAAAATGGCGGCGGATAAATGTTTTAAAAATGATAATAAAATGGCGTGAGAAACGGTCAAAAAAAAGGAAAATGAAAGATGATGAACGGTTTTGAATTTGCAAAAATGACGCCACGTGTAACGCGTTTCCTCCCCCTCCCCTTCCGTCCCCTTCACAGGAAGTTATCATTTTCGAAAAGAAAAATTTTTTGTTAACGTGTAATGAGAATGTTTTGTTTTGTTTTGTTTTCTGCTAATCTAATGCCACTACAAAATCATTTATGATATTGATAACGAAAAGAATTTTTTTTTTAATGGGAAAATCACACGGTGGCGGGGGCGGGGGCGGGTGTGTTTTGTAAAAAAAAAAAATTTTAATTAAATTTTTTTTTCTTAAAGTTTGTAATAGTTTTTATCTCTTTCGAAAAACAAACAAACAAACGAACGAACGAACGAACAAACGAAAAAGAAAAGAAAAATTTTTTTTTTTTTTCCTTTTCTTACGCGCCGTTAATATGTAAAATGTGAAACATAAATTCAATTTACGCGACGTGTAATTAATTAAATTTTACATTCAAACTTTATTTTAAAGAGAGAGAGAGAGAGAGAGATATGAGCTTTTCCAGTTCCCTTCTCCCCCCTCTCAACCTCTCGACCCCGACCCCCCCGAAAAAAAAAAGAGAAAAAGTTAAACTTGTGAAAAAGTTTAAATGACATTTAAAAGATTTAAATTGAAAAAAAAAAAATTTTTTTTAAAGTCATAAATGCCATTTTTTTTTTTTTTTTGTTCACTCGAAAAATTTTTTTTTTTCATAATTTCATCTTTTTATTACCGTAATAATAATTTATTAAACGTTAATAACAAAATAATAATAATAATGATAATATTACGATAATATTTAAAGAAAATTAACGATGGACAGACGCGATGAGTAATTTTTTTTTGTTTTGTTTGTTTTGAAATCCAAAAAATAATTAAAAATTATTACCGGTGGTAATAAAATGGTAATAAAATATTATCTTCATGGATTTTATAAAAGAAAAGATGATTTGAATACTTCAAAAAACCATTTTTGGGGGGAGGGGGGTAAAAAATTTGAAATTATTAAAGTTAAATTTACGTTTGAAAAAAAAGAATTTATTATTGAACGTTTTCGACGTCACGTGATAATACCGGTTCGTATGTAAATATTATCATTAGTAGTGGTGGTAATAATAATAATGATAATAATAATAATAATAATACGTTTTATTAAGGAAAATTAGAAATTTTTGTCTCATTAAAAAAAATTTTTTTTTTTTTTTTGGCTGTTTTATGAGAAAGGTGGGAAAGTGAGAAAAAAAAAAATGGAGTCGAAAGCGTTAAAACTGCGTGAAATAAAATTACACGAATTTTCGCGGGGTAAAAAAAGCTTGCGGTCGAAAAATTCAAAAAGAAAATTCGAAAGATTTTTTTTTTTTTTTTTTTTTTTTTTTTTTTTTTTGCCCGCCCTGGCCTCCATGGAAGGAAGATTAACTGAAAAAAAAAGAAAAAAAGTTCCCGTTCTCATTTGCCCGGAAATTTTCCTTTTTTTTTTTTTTCCTTTTTTTTTTTTTCCTTGGCGGTCGAAATAATGCAAAGAGAGAGAGAGAGAGAGAGAAGGAAAAAAGGGAAATTTATCTATTGATCAGATGGCATCGCAACCAAAAATGAGGTCAAGACGCCGGCGTTTTTTGTGCCATCCAACGTGGTTCCCGTCGACTGTCATTCCCCACAATTTTCACGAATTTTTCAACTCGGAAAATCTCCCTTTTTTTGTCCCTATTCTATTCTGTTCTTTTCTTTTCTTTTTCTCATTGTTTTTTTTTTTTTAACGGATAACCTTTAATTCCCTTAAATTTTAAGATATCAAAGTTTAACGAAATTAGTAACCCGAATACAAAAAAAAGAAATGGGGGGGGGGGAGGGAGGGAGGGTTTTAAAAGATTATCAGGTTTTTTTTTTTAATTAAATATTTTCGGTAAAAGTTTATCTAGTTCCACTACTACTGCTGGCAGCAGGAGGAAAAGTGGCAGCAGAACTTGCACACATATTTTTGATTTTGCCATCATTTTTTTATTATAAAAAATGATTTGGTATTTTATTGCTGTATTTATTATTACGTTGTAAATGATTATTATTATTATTATTGTACGATCGACGTTTTATATTGTTTGATTTTCCCCCCCCTCCTCCACCCCCCGATATTTTAAGACTGGAACGAAACACAACGAAAATAATAAAATTATTAATCCGATTGAATTTTTCGTAGCGTTTCGATATAAATAAATTTCAAATACTCTTTTTTAAAAAAAAAAAATTTTCCGAGCTTAAAATTTCATCATCATCATCATCGTCGTCGTCGTCGTCGTCATCATCATCATCATCATCATCGTCGTCGTCGTCGTCGTTGAATAACACTTATCATGAAATATTAACGAAATGATTGTTTTTTTTTTTTTTGGTTTTAGGTTGGCCGCAGCGCAGGAAGCAGCCGCCCAACAGCGAGCTCTGCCTCCTGGTCGTGACTGCCCGCCATCGCCCGGCACCATGGGCAAACATTCCCAGCAACCCCCAGGGGCCAAACAGCCCACCTCGCTCTTTATTTTCGGCGAGGAAAATATAGTTCGAAGATATACACGCTTTATAATCGAGTGGCCATATCCTTTTAAAAACAATTTGTAAACAAAAAAAAAAAAAAAAAAAAAAGGCGGTAGGTAGGTAGGTTGGCAGAAAAAAATGGGTACCCAATGGGTTAAACGTAGTGACGTCATAATTTTAAAATGATATTTTTCTTAACTGTCGCATTTTCACTCCGTTTGAATATGCTGTATTATTGACCATCATAGCCAACTGTGTAGTTTTAGCCTTGGAAGAACATTTGCCCAACGGCGACAAAACAATTTTAGCTCAAAAATTGGTAAGTGGTTTTTAATAATAATAATAATAATAATTTTATCATAACGATATTTCCTTAAAACTCGTTCAAATTTCAAAGGGAAAGAAAAGCCCATCGAAGAACAACATTCTTTACGGTTTCTTTTTTTGTAAATAATAAAAGAAATTCAATATGTAATTGTTTTTTTGTTTTTGTTTGGTTGGCGTCGTGGATAACAGGAGAAAACGGAGACTTACTTCCTATGTATATTTTGCGTAGAAGCATCCCTAAAAATATTAGCTTTAGGTTTTGTACTTCATCGTGGTTCATACCTTCGTAACATTTGGAACATGATGGATTTCGTAGTTGTGGTTACCGGGTAAGCAGCAATGAAAAATTTCATTTTTTTTTTTTTTTTGGGGGGAGGTTGGATTTTTAACGTCGGGAAATACATGAAATGAGTGAAGGAAGGGGAAGGGAGGGAAGGGGGGGGGAAAACGATATACTAAATCCCGGTGAGTTTTTACAGGTAGCCTTTGTGATTTTCAGGTCGATGACCATATTCGCGGAATCGAATGTGGACGTCGATCTTCGAATGCTGCGATCTTTCCGCGTGTTGAGGCCTTTGAAATTGGTTTCGCGGATCCCAAGTAAGGCAATAAAAAAAAAAAAAAAAAAAACGTCGCGAAAAAATAATTAATTATGTGACAGAAAAAAAAATTGTTTTTTTTTTTTGTTTTTCCCCTTTTTTTAAACTCCTATATAGATTTAGTATGACGCACTCGTAGCGTTTAAATTTTTTTTAAATTTTCTACTCCTCTCCCCACGCCCCCGCCAGTCGAAAGCTTAGTTTATAAAAATTAAATTAAGATAGAAAAAAAAATTCGTTGTAGTAGTTTTTTTTTTTTTTTTTCATAACGAAAATTGCCACCACGTAGCTTTAGTCGTCGAAAAATAAAATAAAAAAAAAAAAATTGCTTAACAGATTACTATTATTATTATTTCTTCATCGTCGTCAATATGGCGGAAAGTCTCTCTCTCTACCCCAAAAAAAAGAAAAAAAAATAGGGGGGGGGGGGGATTTCGAAAATTTTTTCTAATTCGAGCTCCCACTTATTCAGACGCAGATTATTGTTTTTTTTTTTCTTCTTATTAATAATAACTCGAATTAATCGGATTAAGCGGAAGTGACGTAATATTGTTTGCGAACGTAAATAATAAATATTATTATTATTATTATTAACCGGTCGAATTTTATTCCCCACCGCGTGGTTCGCGTCATTCATTATTGTCAAGCCATAGCGAAACCTTTATTTAAAAAAAAAATAGGCAGTTTTGATAGAATAATAATAATAATAATAATAATAATAATACTAATAATGATGATAATAATGATAATAATAGTTTTTAATTTTATAATAGCGTTACGATAATTTTATCGCTAGAAGGTAGTGTATATTATTATGTGGGTTTTTTTTTTTTTTGGTTTTTATTTAAATAGTTATTAAACATAATAATAGTTATAATAATAATAATAATAATAACTTATTTAGAAATTAAAATTTTTAGTCGTTTTTATTAAAAAAAAAAAAAAAAAAAAATAGATTTAGAAACAATGATATTTATTATAAATTGTAAGAAATAGAAAAAAGAAAAATGTCTTCCTTAAACAGCAGCAAAAAAAAAAAAAAAAAAAATTTGCTAAAAACAAATCGAAGAAAAAAATTTAAAAAAAAAAAATTAATAAATAAAAGGAAGATTTTTAAAAAAAAAATCTAGTAGAAATTAGAAAGTAGATATTTAGATTTGGTTTTTTGTGGATAAAATTAATTTCACAGGTTTGTGACCATGGTTCCCGGGGACGTAGGTCTAGATCTTCGAACCCTGAGGGCTATACGTGTGCTAAGGCCACTGAAACTTGTATCAGGAATTCCCAGTAAGTAAAATAAAATGAAAAAAAAAAAAAAAAACAAAAAAAAACAAAAAAAAAAGCAATAATAATAATAATGATAATGATAACAAAAATAAAATCCTTCGAATGACTTAAATTGATGATAAACGTATATATATATATATATATATAATGCGAAAAAATTATGAATGAATGAATGAATGAAAATGGAATGATTTTTCGCCATGATTTCTCTAATATTTTGTTTTTGCATTATTAAAAATTCAGGTCTGCAGGTGGTGCTCAAGTCCATAATAAAAGCCATGGCGCCCTTGCTGCAAATTGGTCTCCTGGTTCTTTTTGCAATTGTTATATTTGCCATAATCGGCCTCGAATTTTATTCTGGGGCTTTACACAAGACTTGCTACAGTTTAGAAGACTTAAGTGAGTTGTCGTTGTTGTTTTTATTTCAGCCAAAAATATTATTACAATGTTGCTAATAACGGTTTTTTTTTGCAACAGCTAAAATAGTTGAAGAAGGTGACGCAGCAACGCCTTGTAACACAGATAACGAAAGCATAGCTCAACCGGGTAGTTTTATATGCAATCCAAATATTTCTACGTGCATGGAAGAATGGGAGGGTCCCAATTACGGCATAACATCCTTTGACAATATCGGATTTGCCATGTTGACCGTGTTTCAATGCATAACAATGGAGGGTTGGACTGCCATTTTGTACTGGGTATGTGAAAACACAAAAAAAAAAATTCATTTCTTTCTACCGTTTCCGTTTCCGTTTTCATAACATTAGTATTGATTTTCATTATTGAAAAGAGTTTTGTGTTTATTTGCACGGTGAATTTTTTTTTTTTTTGGTTAAAACCACGAAAAAATTATCAACGTATTTATTATTATTATTATTATTATTGCTTTTTTTTTTCTAAAGTCACTTTAAAGTTGTGTATAAATATATATTTTTTTTTTTGTGTGTGTGACGGATGAAAAATCAGAAAATCAATAAGGAAGAAAAATTCCAATATTTTTCCCTGCGCGTTTTCCCGGTTGACAAAAAGGAAATTTTTTTTTTTCAGTTGTTTTTGAGTCGGGAATATACAAAAAAAAAAAAAAAAAAGTGCGGAGTTTTTGATATTGTTTTTAGGTTTTTCTTTTAACAAAAAAAAAAAAAAAGGACAAGGAAAATGGCAAAAGTCAACGCACAAGCGCTCGAGTAAATTTATTATCCCCATATTAAATATAGTTTTTTTTTTTTTTAAAAAAAATGGGGCGTCCCTAAGGAAAATGCCTCGTAATTAATTTTTCATACTAGAAAACGGAAAAAGAAGCAACTTTTAACATTATTATTATTATCATTCGTTACTTTTTGAAAACGTTTTTTTTTTTCAAGTCGTTAATCATCATCATCATCATCATCATCATCATCATTCGATTTATCCGTTTGTAATTACATAACCGATTTTCTTTTTTTTTTTTTTGTTTTCAGACAAACGATGCACAAGGTAGTAAATACAATTGGATATACTTCGTACCTTTAATTGTAGTCGGATCATTCTTCATGCTCAACTTAGTACTTGGTGTTCTTAGTGGGTGAGTTAATATATTTCATTTGTCAATTTGCTTTACATGCTGATTGCTTGAAAAATAACAGAACGACAGGATTTTTTTTTTTTTTTTTTTTTAAATTTTGAAACTTGTATAATGTCTACGGGTCTGTCTGATGGTGTTAAAAAAAACATTAACGAGTAGGAAAAGGTTTCTGCGCTCCCCCCCCCACTACCGCGAAACGACAAAAAATTGCATGATTTGACTTTTCACAATCGACAGGAGAAAAAGTTTGACGCACACACGGACTACGCTTTACTCTTCCCTCCCCTCCCCTCCCCTTTACACGAAGGGTTTGCCTGTATATTATATTTCCACGTCGTGTCAATAGTTTTCGTTACGTTATTATCGATCGTACGTATTGTCGTGGCAGCAAACCCTCACGCAGCGGAGTATAATATACCGTTTAACGACTTTTGGACGACTAGGAAGAAAAAATTCGCAGCCGCTCGCAGCTATATTATTATTATTATTATTATTATTATTAATATAGAGAAAGTTTTAAGTTAAAAAAAAAAGTACAAAAGAACGAAAAAAAGTTATCATACGAAAATGATTACAGTGAATTCGCTAAGGAGAGAGAAAAAGTCGAGAACAGACAATTATTTCTGAGACTTCGTAGACAACAGGAATTAGAAAGGGATATGAGTGGTTATATGGAATGGATTTGTAAAGCAGGTATGTTAGTTTTGTCGTGCGCTTTCATGTTGCAGTGAATTTGCAAACCAGAGAGAAAAAGTCGAGAACAGGCAGACGTTCCTCAAGCTTCGAACTCAGCAGCTCCTCGAACGCGAGCTCAACGGATATGTCGAATGGATAAGCAAAGCAGGTGAAGTAAATCGAAAAATAAAAAAAACGTTTATAAATTAAAACCCCCCGTACACACGACGAGATTAGGGCCCCCCACCCGTACCACATCACATAAATTACAAACATACACACACACAAACGTGCTCGTATATAAAGTATCGAGAGGGAGGAAAAGGAAAAAGAAGAAAAACCACCGCCGCCTCGATCAACGCCACCATCATCCCCCCACCGCGACGCTAACGCTCCACCCTCGATACTAACGATAAAATGGTACGTAATAATAATAATGGTAAGGTTACTTTTCCTTTTTTTTTTTTATAAGGTTGCCGTTCACTTTATTCAGTATAAACACGTGTGGTTGATTTGATTTTTCTAAAGTTGGTAGTTGTTTAGTTGACGTAGTGATAAAGTTTTTGATAATGGGTCATGAATGGGGGTTTTGTTTTTTATAATAGTAGAAATCACAGCAGCAGCAACAGCAGAATCATCATTTTTCGAATGATAATAATAATAACGCACACTTTTTTTTTTTTTTTTTTTGTTGGTAGTCATTCATTCATTTATTTATCATAATTAGTTTCATTTGACTTTACTGGGTGATAAGGTGATAACGTTTATTCGGGGAAACGCGAAATGTTTATATGACCGATAAATCCGGGGGGGGGGGGGGGAAATCGAATCCTTTCAAAAAGGAAATCTCACTCTCTTAAAACCGGAATGCCTTTATTATTATTATTATTATTATTAGGCAAAAAAATTATAGAGAGAGAGAAAAGCTTATTTGCTGCTTTAATAATACGTAATAAAAAAAAAAGTGAATGGTTGATCTTATTGAAACAATTTTGTTTTTCTTCCATTTTAATTAAACCGAAATCAAAATGAATGAATGAGTGACGTCACACGTGAAAATTTAATTCCTGATGAAATACGTCAGAGTATGAGAGGTTTAAAGGGGAGGAGGAGGGTTGGGAGGGGAGAGAGGAAGGGGAGGGGAAAAGGGGGAATGTATGTTTTTAATGAAGAAAAACAAAATTGCAAATAATATTTATTCATATATCATGCATGAACTTTTTTTTTTTTTTTTTATAATTATTATTATTATTTTAAATGATTGGAAGATTTTTTTTTTTTGTTTAAAAATTTTCAAAATGGCGGATGTTTCCCAAAAAAAAATCTTTCAATTATTTATCACTCATCCTAGACACCAGAAAAATTTCTTTTTTACTCATCACAATCGTAGTTTGAATCACTATTTAAAAAAAAAAAAAAATCATTAGAGTAATAATAATAATAATACTTAATCATTGGATGATGACGATGATGATGATGATAGAGTAGTATAATATAAATCGACTTGAAATTCATAATATATACACAAACATACACACACGCTCGCGCGCGCGCGGTCTTGATTGATACGGTAAAGTTTGAGTTTTTTTTTATATATATATATATAAATTTTTTTTTTCGGCTGCTTATATATTTTATAACCACGGCAAATGCTTTTTTTTTTAAAATCACAATAAGCTATTTATTCATCGATTGATTGATTGATTGATTGATCGATTGATCGATCGATTGAAAGTTAAGCGTTGCAATTTTACTTTAATTTTTTTTTTTTTTTTTAAATTTTTTTCAATGCGTTAAAAAAAGCAGAATATTAAAAAAAATGCACAAAGTCAAAGCTTCGCTGATAATAATAATAATGATGCTGTAAATAATAATTTTAGTTTAAAAAAAAGCAAAAAAAAAATTTCTACTGCTTGGCTGTTTTAATTATTATTATTATTATTATTGATTTTTTTTTACTTTTTATTTTCCAACCTTTTTTTTTTTTGGGATTCTTTTATCGGTTCTTTCTTTTACCTTATTTTATTATTTCTTCCCCTTCCCTCCCCCCAAAAAAAAAAAAAAATTGATTTCATTTCCTCCTCCTCCTCCTCCTTTTTCTCCTTCTCCTCCTTTTCCTCCTTCTCCTTCTCCTCCTCCTCCTTTTTCTTCTTTTCCTTCTCCTCCTTTTTCTCCCTTTTTCTCCTTCTCCTCCTCCTTTTTCTCCTTTTCCTTCTCCTTCTCTTCTTTCTCCTCCTTCTCTTTTTTCTCCTCCTGCCCCCCCCCCATAAAATTTCTTTATGTTTATGTTTATGTATGTGTGTACGTGTATTATTTGTAATTTTTTTTTTTTTTTTGTCTGTTTCCACTTCCTTCTTCCACTTTTATTTATTTATTTATTTATTTTTTAAACACGTTCGTCGGGGGGGAGAGAGGGGATTAGAGGGGAATTTTGTCGTCGTTTGTGTTTGTATATCCGAATAAATTCCTTTATCGATAATATTACGCCGCCTCAAATATCTCTCATTATCGATTTGCCATTTTAGAAAAAAATTTTTTTTTTTTTTTTTTATCGTAATCAAATTCGTATTAATTTTATAATTTTCGTGTTTTGCGTCGTCGGTGGAAAAAAAAGGAAAAAAAAAGGAAAAAATCAATTCTTAAAAAGGCTACAAAAAAAAAAAAAAAAAAAACATTTTTAATTTATACGTTATTAATTTATTATTTATTATCGATTCGTAAAATGAGTGGAAAACAATAATGATAATGATAATGCTAGTAGTTACGAAACGAATTTTATCGAATCTGACGTGAGGGAAAAATAAAAAAAGAAAATTCATTAAAATAGAACATTATTTTCATGTAGGTAGTAGTACTCGCTTTACCTTAGTACCTTCCACATTAGTTTAAATCCTTTTTTTTTTTTGGTTCATTGTGTAGAATTTTTATCGTATTTAATTTAGTGTTAGATGTGACTAGGGAGAGGGTGGGGGTTTTGGGGGGTGGGGAGAAGGGTAAAGGGAAGAAGGAAGCATGAGGAGGGGGTGGGGGGACAAAAAGACAAACATTATTAATTTTTATAATTTTTATAATTTTTCTTTTTTTTTTTAATATGAAATTTATAGAAGAAGTAATTTTAAACGAAGAGAGAACGACCGAGGAAGAAAAAATGCACATAATCGAAGCGAGAAGACGAGCGGCAGCCAAAAGGAAAAAATTGAAAAATTTAGGAAAGAGCAAAAGTACGGATACGGAAGAAGAAGAGGAAGAAGTTGAAGAAGGTATGAGCGAAAATATATACATATATAAATTTTTTTCGTTTCGTCATCAATAATCGATAATCGATCAATTTTTTTTTCTAATCGACGTGGGGGCGAGGGGGAAAGAAATTAAAATTTTTTTTTTTTAATATTTATTATGATACGAATTCGTAGGATAAGTCATAGAGAGAGAGAGGAGTAGGAGTAAATTTTTTGTAACAAACGTCGACAAATTTCCCTTACCCTAAATCGTATCAAACGTTTATTGCGTTAATCCATCATTTTATTATTATTATTATCATGTATCGTCGTTTTTTTTAAGATATGTGATTATTTTCTTTCTTGTACAATTACAGAACCGCCGAAAAAGATGAAAGGTATGATATACACGACAAAAAAAATTAGTAGAGAAAAATAATAATAATAATAATAAGTAAAAACATGGTTTAGAAACATAAACATATAAATAAAATGGTAGTTGTAATTAGATAAATGTGTTTTGTCTTTAATGTAATTATTTTTTTAATATGGCCGTCATAAATATTATGTATATTTATATATAAAATCCTATCGGTGAACTTTTATTGGTACCCCTGTTACCGCCGCGTACATAATAATAATAATAATTATTGTAGTTAATTTTTGATAAAAGCATGTGTGATGATTTAATAAAAAAGGGAAAGGGGAAAAGTGAAAAGGGGAAATTTTTTTAAAAAATGCTGCTGTAGTCGATTTTAGAAAATTGAACCTTTATACTATGTATAAATAATTAGAAAGTGAAAATTGTTGTATGTGTGTGTGTACATTTAAAAAGAAAAGGAAAAAGAAAAACGTTTAGAAAGTAATGTACATAAGTTTACTGGAGTAGGGATAATGATGAGGATACGGAGTAGTGGTAGTAGTAGTGGTAGTAATGGGGGGGGGGTAGTGGTGGTTGGCGGTGGCGGTGATAACCCTTTGATTTTTATTGAATTTTGTGGTGTTGTTTAGGTTTTTCACGATCGTACCTCAAAGCAAAAGTTAAAAACAAGGGAGCGTTTTGGAGAGCAGAAAAAAGACTTAGATTTTGGATCAGGCACGCGGTGAAAACGCAGGTTTTCTACTGGTTCGTCATTGTCCTAGTCTTTCTTAATACTATTTGCGTGGCCGTCGAGCATTACGACCAACCGCCTTGGCTCACCTCATTTCTGTGTAAGTATACATATACTGTTGGAGTGGTTAATTGCAATTACAACCGCGACGATGATGATGATGATGATGTGAGTGTCGCCGCCGCCGCCGCCGCCATCATCATCATCAACAACAACTTTGAACGCGTATTATTAAAACGTTTTCATTTTTTTTATCATTTCAGATTATACGGAGTTCATATTTTTAGGTTTATTCTTAATCGAAATGTTTATTAAAATGTACGCTTTGGGGCCTCGAATATATTTCGAATCCGCTTTTAATAGATTCGATTGTGTTGTGATCAGTGGTTCGATATTTGAAGTGATTTGGTCTCAAATCAAATCCGGGTCATTCGGACTTTCCGTCTTAAGAGCTTTAAGATTATTAAGGATATTTAAAGTTACAAAGTAAGTGTGATGTATTGTTATGCTCATTCGCGTTGTACAATCGAGAAAAGTTTTTTTATTATTATTATGACTTATTATGGAAAGAAGAAAAATAATTTTGCCGGGAAAATTATGATATCGACGATGGCTCTATCTCACTCGCTCGTTCGCTCTGTGCTTCACTGCTTTGATATTCTTTTCGTTTATTATTATTATTATTATTTTACAGCTACCACGTTTGGATAAGTATATATGTAAAAACGGAATGATAGGTTTATAATCGTCAATCGTTGCTTTTTAATGCTTTAATATTATTATTATTATTATTTTCTTTTTTGATGATGATGATGATGAATCGTTTGAAAGAAAGACTAAAAATTTGTTTGAATATGATTTACAGGTACTGGTCATCGCTTCGAAATCTTGTGATATCACTTTTAAACTCTATGAGATCCATAATTTCACTCTTGTTCCTTCTCTTCCTTTTCATTCTCATTTTCGCCCTTTTGGGTATGCAATTATTTGGCGGACAATTCAACTTCGACGATGGTACACCTCCCACTAATTTTAATACCTTCCCCATAGCGCTTCTAACAGTCTTCCAGGTACAATATTAAAACAAAAAAAAAATTTTTTATTTTTCCCTTTGAATGTAGTCTATAGATATCGAATTCGATTCGATTCGATTCGATACGATTCGAGAATGAATTGAAATTTGATTTTTATAGATTTTGACTGGTGAAGATTGGAACGAAGTCATGTACAAAGGCATAGAATCTCAGGGTGGTCATAAAAAAGGAATGATCTACTCGCTGTACTTCGTCATTCTTATGCTCTTCGGTAACTACACTTTACTTAATGTATTTTTGGCCATCGCTGTAGATAATTTGGCCAATGCTCAGGAACTGACAGCTGCCGAAGAGGAACAAGAAGAAGAAGACAAAGAGGTGGGGGGGGTCGATTTAAATAAGATTTTTTTTTTGGAGTTGTTGTTGTTTGGAATTTATTTGGAATTGTTTCTTTGTTTTTGCGGTGTCGTTAGAAACAAGCGCAAGAACTCGAAAAAGAAATGGAAGCGCTACAAATGGGTGGGACATTAATTGAAGGAGATGGAAACGTACCCTCGCCTTCTCACAATTTGTAAGTGATGATTGGGTTCAACAACAAAAATTATGGACGATTAAATTTGAAATTCAAAATAATAATAATAATAATAATTTATAAACAGAAAAGAGAAACGGAAAAAGGAAGAGGAGAAAAAAGTAGAAGCGGATGAAGAGTTAACGGGGCCCAGACCAATGCTGCCGTACACATCAATGTTCATTTTATCAACAACAAATCCGTAAATGTTTAAAAATATATATTTATATATAAATAAATACATTGGCGACACTCTAAAAACTAATTTTTTGTGTATTTTTTTTTTTTTTTTTTTAGAATCAGAAGAGCCGCTCATTGGGTAGTTAATTTAAAGTACTTTGACTTTTTCATCATGGTAGTGATTAGTCTTAGCTCGATAGCTCTTGCCGCCGAAGACCCCGTCGAAGAGGAATCTGTAAGAAACAGCATTCTTAATTACTTTGATTATGCCTTCACCTGTGTGTTCACCATAGAAATGATTCTCAAGATATTAGACTTGGGACTTATACTACATCCGGGATCGTATCTCCGGGAATTTTGGAACATTATGGATGCCGTAGTGGTGATATGTGCCGCCGTGTCTTTCGGCTTTGACATTAGGCAAATAATAATAATAAGAGTTTAAAATTTACGTTACGTGTAACAAATTATAATATTTAATTTATACTTTTTTTTTTTTTTTTTTTTTTTTTTTTTTTTGTAGTGGGAGTTCTGCTGGTCAGAATTTATCCACGATAAAATCACTGCGAGTGTTAAGAGTTTTGCGACCTCTCAAGACCATAAAAAGAGTGCCGAAATTAAAAGCAGTTTTTGATTGCGTCGTCAATTCTCTTAAAAACGTTATCAACATATTAATAGTATACATATTGTTCCAATTTATATTTGCCGTTATTGCTGTGCAGTTGTTCAATGGGAAATTTTATTATTGTACGGACGATAGTAAAGCCACAGAAAAAGAATGCCAGTGAGTTGTAGTTGTTGTTGTTGTTGTTGTTGTTGTTGTTTGTTTTTTAAATTTTTATTTAAATTTTTTTTATTTAATGCGTATTTTAAACGTGTTTTGATGTTTGTATATTTTCAGAGGGCAATATTTCGTTTTCGATAAATCCAGTTTGTTGCCTAGAGCTGATAAAAGAGTTTGGAGAGCTCAGGATTTTCATTACGACAACGTTGCCGTGGCCATGTTGACATTATTTGCCGTACAGACTGGAGAGGGTTGGCCTCAGTAAGAATTTCATTTTTATAAATTTACTACTACTACTACTACTATTGCTGCTGCTGCTGCTGCTTGATAGCACCGTGATGATATTAATTTGTTTTTTTTTTGTTTTGCAGAGTTTTACAAAATTCTATGGCTGCAACTTATGAAGACACGGGTCCTATTCAAAATTTTAGAATAGAAATGTCCATATTTTACATAGTTTACTTCGTAGTTTTTCCTTTCTTCTTTGTAAATATATTCGTGGCGTTAATTATAATTACTTTTCAAGAGCAAGGAGAAGCGGAGCTTCAAGATGGAGAAATCGATAAAAATCAGGTTATTATCATCATCATTATCACCGTCGTCGTCGTCGTCGTTATAAAATCCGATTTAAAAAAAAAAAATTTTTTTATAAAACTTTTTTTTTCTTTTTCTTCTTTTTCCTACAGAAATCTTGTATTGATTTTACAATTCAAGCTCGACCGTTGGAAAGGTACATGCCCAAAGAGAGAAACAGTTTCAAATACAAAGTTTGGAAACTAATAGCTTCGACGTCTTTTGAATATTTTATCATGATGCTCATAGTATTTAATACTTTATTATTAATGATGAAGGTAAGTTTTATTTATTTTTTTATATTTTCCCCCTCTCTCTCTCTTTCTGTCTCTCCCCGTCTCTCTCTTCCCCTCCCCACAAAAAGTTTTTCTCGATTTATTAAACAAAAAAAAAAAAAAATTAAACATTTTATTATTCGCCGTCGCCATTTTTTTTTCCCCCCACTCTAATGTAAATAAGTTTAAGAAACAAACAAACGAAAAACAAAATGGCGACGGCGTATAATAAACTGTTTGATTTTTTTTTTTTTTTTTGCGTTGCAAGTCTGACCGACGGACGTTTTATTTATTTATTTTTAAATGTTGGTCACACTTGTAACGGTTATTAAATTAATTAACAATAATTAAAACACTTAACGATTATTTATTAATTAATTATTTTTTTCAAGCGTGGATTACAGGAAGTGAAAACAAAATCGAAAAAAAAATTTATTATCATTATTATTATTTATATTTTTTTTCTTACAGCGTTAATTGTTCGATCGAATATTAATAATAATAATAATAATAATAATAATAATAATTCGAAAGTGATATGAATTTTTTTAAATGTATTTTAAATGTTTGCTTTGGTCATTCGGAATGTAAATTTTTTTTTTTTTTTTTTAAATTTTCATTCACAAAAACAGGGATTTTTGTCGCCGGTATGAAAAAAAGACAGGGATTTTTGTCGCCGATATAAAAAAAAAAAAAAATAGGGATTTTTGTCGCAAAAAAAAATTTCCGAATGGCTTTTTACATGTTTAATTTTGCTTAATGTTATTATTATTATTATTTAAAAAAAAAAAAAAAAAATTTGTATCGTAAAATGTATGTCGCTGTCATTTGTCAGTTTTTTTTTTTTTTTTTTTTTTCTGTCGTTGTTTTTGTTTTCTTTTTTTCTTTTAACGTTTCGACAAAAAAAAAAATGGAATCATGTTCGTTAAATTCAAAATTCTCACTAAAAAAAAAAAAAAAATTTTTTTTGTTATTATTATTATTATTATTATTATTATTATTATTATTATTATTATTATTATTATAATTAATATTATCGATGTGATATTTTGCTCGGCCATTGCTTGCGATTATTTATTAATTAAATCACGTAAATGTCGTTATTTGTTTTTTTTTCCCGTAAGAAAGAAAGTTAAATGAGTACTCTTATTATTATTATTATTATTATTATTATTATTATTATTATTTTAATTTTAATCGATTATAATTTTCCCGCTAGTTGAAAATTAATTTTGACAAAAATAATTGTAAGGCAACCAACCTACCCAACAACCGAAACAACCAAACAACCGAACAACCTAGTAACCTACTTTTAGTTTGTTTATATTTAAAAATAGGTCATAGAAAATTTTAAAAAATTGTTTTTTTCTTTTTGTGTTGTTTTACTTAAAAGCTAATTAAATTGATTGAACCTGTCTGTTAATTACTTTTGCGCACTTTCACACACTCTCGTAATAACAATAATATACACGCCCCCTCACTTCCCCCCTCTCCCTCCATTCCTCCCGTCGGTTATTAATAAATTAATTAAACTGTAATTCGAATGAATGAATGAATGAATGAATTTGTACGTGCATGTTGTTTTATTTTTTTATTTTAACGAAACACCTCCCCCTGCTCCCCCTACCGCCCGTCTTCTCCCCCCGCACATCCAAGCCTCTCATTATTATTACTATTATTTGAGTCGACTTTTCATTTAGAATTAGTAGGTATCTTTCTCAAGTTTAAAAAAAAAAAAAACTGAAAAATTTTCCTTTGAAAAGCATCCATCTTTTTTCCAAAATTTTTTTTTCATTTCCTGCGAGAACGACATCTCGCGTCGAAAATTGTAACCACCTTCTTTTTGCAAATGAAAAAAATTTTTGATTTGTTTTGATTTGTCTTGAATATTGTGTGTGTTTCATATAATGGATGTTGTTGTAACGGTCGTTTTTTTTTATTTTTTATTTTCTCTCTCTCTCTCTCTCTCTCTCTGTGCTTTCGTGCCTCTTGTCCGAAACAAAAACAAAATGGCTCCTTCCGATCGTCATCTTATCCGGTTACGAGAAACAAAAAGAAATTCATTTTTAGTTCTAATAATGATAATAATAATAAATCGTTTGCTTTTTCTCGTCGCATTTGTTTCTCACTCTCTCTCTCTCTCTCTCTCTCTCTCTCTCTCTTTAAAATCTACGTTTATTTTTATTTTGTAAGTGAGATGGAAAATACAGGCGGTCACTTTTTTTGGTTTTTTGATTTTTTTTTTTGATTTTTATTTGATTTCTTGAGCCTTTTTCCCATATTTTCTAGTTTCACAAGCAATCTGCTTTGTACAAGAAGTCGCTGCACTACCTGAACATGGGTTTTACGACCATGTTCACCATCGAAACCATACTCAAGTTGTTAGCTTACGGAATCAGGGTAAGAGTATATACATATCATTTTATTTATTATTAATAATAATGATAATGCTTTTTTTTTTTTACTAAATTTTAGGGATTTTTTTTTTTTTATTGAGTGATTTTTCGATTTTTGTTTTTTTTTTTTTTTTTTTTATTTAAAAAAGAAAGAAAAGAAAAAAACGAATCGGGTTTTCCTTCATAAACAAAACGATCCTCAATTTAAAAAAAAAAAAAATAAATAAATAAATAACACGTGATTTCCTTTTTAATAAGAAAAAAAAATTTAACCGTTACCAAGAGAGCACGTGGCACTAGTCATCACCGTTTTGTAAATAATATTTTATTAGTTGTTGTTGCATTTTTTTCTTTAGTTGTTGTTATTATTTGAATGTTTACCGATTGTTCTATGTTTGTTTGTTTGTTTGTTTTAAATTGCATGATTTTTTTTTGATTGAATGAAATCGCTTTTGTTTGTTTGTTTTTTTGCGTGTTACATGGATCCGTAAAAAATTTGGAGAAAAAACAAAAACAAAAACAAATCGTTAGGAGAAGAAGATGATAATTATTCTCTGTTTGTTTGTTTGTTTTTGTTTTTGTTATTTACGACGTATTTAAATTGATTTGTCATATTTACAGATTTTTTTCATTTCGTAATTATGAAATTTTGAAAAAAAAAAAAAAAAAAAAAAACCCGTTAAAAACGAAGAAATGATGATGAAAATTTTTTTTGTCTTTGACGTGGAATCAACGTGTTGACGATGAAATCACGGCTCATTTTCGATTAACAATAATTTTTTTATTATTTATAGAAAAAAATTCACGTTGCGGTGAAATTTGAAAATTTGACAGGAAAAAAATAATAATAATGATAATGATTGATAGAAAAAAAAGGATCGTGTAAATAACGACGAGAGGAGAGAAAAGAGAGAGCATGTTGAAAAATGCTTTGCACGACATAGAATTTTCTTTTTTTTTCTGCTAAAATTTTCTTTTTTTTTTTTTTTTAATCGATTACAAAAAATAAAAATTCAAATTTCACAGTAACGAGAATTTAAAAAATAATAATAATAATAATAATGATGATGATGATGATGATGATGATGATGATAAATAGTTAAATCGTGTTGAATTTTTTTTTCTCAATATTATTATTATTATTATTATTATTATTATTATTATTATTATTAGTATCGTTTTTTTTTTTTATTTTAGTTGCGTGAAAGCTGGCAAATTATTCATTAATTTTATTTTTCACACATTTTCGCCATTTTTTTTTTTTTTTTTTTTTTGTAAATTAAATTAAAATCTACAGGACGATTGATAAACTGTATGGTATCGTTTCCACGTGAAAAATACAAACACGCAGAAGGTGTTGTCGTTGTTATCAATCAGTGCGTTGATAGCGCGACACGTCGAAGACGTTTCATCTCCGCCCTCTGCCCCGCCCCGTTGCCCCGCCCCCTTCTTATTTTCGCTCAACAGATTTTGTATTATTAATAATAGTTGTTGTTTTAAATATTTTAACTAATGTTAATTTTAAATTTAAATTTAAAAAAAAAAAAACCGTTATATATGTATTATCAGTTCCATGACGCCCCCGACTCAATGGTGGACGCACTCACATACATGAATTGCCTCATGACCATGCTTTTCCTTGTCGAAACCCTGTTGAAGCTGTACGCTTTTGGAAAGGTGATTCATTATTATTATTATTATTATTATATATGTTTTATTACTATTACTATTATTATTGTTTATATTTATTGATAATTAATTCGAAGTTTGATTATTTTATTTATTTATTTGTTTCCAATAATAGTTACGGTACGAAGTAAAATGTATTTTTAATATCGATCGTCGCTCCCCTTTCCCCCCCTTTCCCCCTTTGTTTGTTACATGTATTATTATTTACTATTGTTGACAGCTAACAAACACGCACACACACACACACACACACATTCGAACAGACGAAGACAAACATACGAACAAACACAAACACACATATATAAGAAGAGTATTGTATAGAATTTTTTTTTTGTAATATTAATTTGAGTAGATTTGCATTTAGGTACAAATGAACCTTTTTTTATTATTATTATTAATATTATGTATTAATCAAAACCGAAAATTGAAAGACTTTTTCGGTGAGACGTATTTTATTAATAATTTTATTACTTCACAATAAAAAAGTAGATGAGCTTTTCTTTTTCTTTTTTTTTTTTTTTTTGTATTTTCCCTAAAAGCTTTTCTTTTTCTTTTAAGTAAGTAAAGTAAAGTAAAGTAAAAAGAATTTTAAATGCTCTTCGCGAAAATCGTCTGCTAAGCTTTTTTATTATTATTATTATTATTTACGTAGATAGTTTTTTGGGTAAGTTTTTTTTTTTTTCGTTTTATTGCAACGTTCGAACACACGAAGTCACGTGTTTATTATTATTATTATTACTTCTTTTTTGTCGTGCGAATCGTTCGTTAATAAGGGACGTAGGGAGATAATTATCGCGTTATCACTTATCACGATTAAGAAAAGATTAAAAAGATTAAGAAGATTAAGAAAAGATTATTAGGATTAAGGGAAAGAAAAAAAAAAGGCACCGATAGGGATAGGTAGTGTTAGAACTTTATTGAATGAATTTTTTTTTTTCCTTTTTTTTTTTCTTTCTTAGGCATGCAAACAAAACTTTAATTAATAAAAAAAATACTCTAATAAGTTAAACATTTCCTTAAAATCATAATAATAATAATCGTTATTATTATTATCACAATCACACTCATCATCTGATTCGTTGAAAAATTCTAGAAAAAAAAAAAAAAAAAAAAAAAAAACAAATCGAATGAATGTAGGGAAGAAAAAAAAACGTTAGAATTTTTTTTAGTTGTTGTTGTTTATTAAAAAAAAATTTATTTATTATTATTATTATCGTTATCGTTATTATTATTATTATTTGTTATTGTTTTTCCTTTAGAATTTTTTCAAAGATGCCTGGAACACGTTTGATTTGATCACAGTACTCGGAAGCATTGTCGACGTTTTATTCATGGAATTTGGGGTGAGAAAATAATTTTAAAAAATTTATTATTATTATTATTATTATTTCCGGTGAAAAATTTATCACCGGAAACGATCACCGGTTCATTCATTCATTCATTCATTCATTCATTTATTTACTTTTTTTTTAAAGGAAAATTCGTTCAACGTTGGTTTTTTACGATTGTTTCGTGCTGCTCGTCTTATAAAATTACTAAGGCAAGGTTACACGATAAGAATATTGCTATGGACTTTTGTACAATCATTCAAAGTGAGTATCACCCCTCCCCTCCTCCCTTTCCCCTTCCCCGTCTCCCCTCTTTCCATTCCAGAACGTTCGATTTTTAAAAAAAAAAAAATTTTTTTTTTTTTGTAGGCTCTGCCGTATGTTTGCCTGTTGATAGCAATGCTCTTTTTTATTTACGCAATCATCGGAATGCAGGTACGTCATTCTCGTCCATTTATTCGATTTTCTTTTATGAAAATTTTATTAATTATTCGTCGTTATCAATCAATGATAACAATTTAAAAAAAAAAAAAAAAGGCGGGAAATTTCATAAATTTAAACTTGCGTCGTTTTTTTTTTTTTTTTTTTTTAATAAGTTTTCACCTTCGATTTGTTTATCATAAGAAAATTTTTTTAAATAGTGATAATAATGATAATAATTTAAGTTTTACTCATTATTATCATTATTATTATTATTATTGGATATAGAGTAAACGTGATGATGATGATGATGATGCGAAGGAATCGAATTCGAATCGGAAATGAAATCAAAAAAATAAAAATTTTCTTATGATAAACATTATTAAATAAGTTTTACGGGGGCGGGGGGGGGGCAAACGATGGGGACCGGGGTACAGGAGGGAAGGGGGAGGAGGAGGGAGGGAAAAAAAAAAGGAAATTTATATTGTTATTTTTTTTAGCCCCCACCCTCATGATGTATTTGAAAAAAAAAAAAAAAAAAAAAAAAAAAAATCCATAATTCACGAGTACATAAATCGACTATTTTTATCAAATTACAACATTAACAATTCGTATAAATAACGACGACGACGACGACGGCGATAATAATAATAATTTTTATTGTGGTTGTCGTGGTTGTCGTTGTCGTTGTCTTCAAAATAAGAAAAAAAAACCTTTGAACAAACATTTTTTTTTTTTAAAATCAAAAATCATGTCGTTTTAAATAATAAATTTCAAACGGCTTTAGAGATTAGCTAACTATTGTTGCTTTAAATATGGTAGATGGCGGTGGTAGTGGTGGTTACAGGTCAACGACCCTTAAATTTTTTTCTTTTTAAATCAATAGTATTATTAATTAATTAATTAATTAAATTCCAGTTAAATTTAGTTTTAGAAAAATTAGTCATATTATTAGTTCTTTTTTAAATGATGATTACAAAAAAAAAATTTTTTTATTATTAACAACTTTTAGTGTTTGTCGTGTCCGGTCCCTATTAAAGATGGTAGTTATTAATTAGTAAATTATTTTACGGGTGTTTAATTAATTAATTAATTATTTATTAAACGATTGTTGGATTTTTTTTTTTTTTGTTTAAATTTGTTGTGTGTACTCATTCATTTGGGGGCTCATTGGCTCATTTTCTTAAGGTTTTTGGAAACATGAAGTTCGATCCGTACTCGGCCTTGAACAGACATAACAACTTTCAAACATTCTTCGGTGCTCTTCTATTATTATTTCGGTGAGTTTAGTTAATGGGAATGTCAATGGGAGGGGTCCCATATCGAAAGCATATGGATATGTCACGAGTTCGAACCTTAACGAACCTTAACGAACCTTTTTTTTTTTTTTTTTTTTTTTCATTTTATTTTAATTTATTGGATCGTTGTGGGAGTAGAGAATGAGGGCTCGAATAATTTTAAATTTTTGTTAATATGATTATTATCATCATTATCATTATCATCATCCTGACGATGATGATGATGATGATGATGATAAAATAAGGAAGGAAAGAAAGAAAGGAAGAAAAAAATTTTTTTTTTTTTGACGCTTCTCTATCTCTATCTCTCTTTTCTCTCTTTCTTCTTTACGTATATACTGTATATGTAAATGTGAAAGTTGATTGATTGATTGGTTGATTGATTGATTGATCGATTGATTGATTTTCTCCCCCCCTTAAAAAAAAAAAAAAAATTTATGTGTTTTAGCATTTTAATTATTATTATTATTAGATGAAAATCCCCGGCATGCATTTCATTAACGTGAAACTTTTTTTTTCTATCTCTCTCTTTCTTTCTTTCTCTTTATTTTTTTCTCTCTCTCTCTCTCTCTCTCTCTATCTTTTTCTAACCAGAATAAATAAATTTTTTCGAATCGTTCGATTGTTCGTTGAGACATAATAATAATAATAATAATAATAATAATAATGCTTGTTGTTGTTTTGTTGAATCAAATTTTTGTCGGTAACGTTTTCTGGGGCTTTTTTTTCTCGAAAATTTTCCGTTTGATTATATGTAAATAATAATAATAATAATAATATTAAAATTAGTTTTAGTCAATAGATAATGATAATAATAATAAATAATTGATAGATTTTTTTTTCGTTGGTTGATGAAAAAAAAAAGCCCTGGAAATTGTTTACTACTAACAATAATCGAAATCGGTTTCGACAGCGAATAATAATAATGATAATGATAAACATTTTTACCCTGTCGTGTAAATAAAATATTATTAATAATAATAATAATATATATATATATTTTGTGTTTACCTGTAGTCTAGTCGAAAGTGTAGCCCTAGCTCATGTAGATATATAAATATTAATTTATATATATATATAAATATTAGAAATTAAATGTTATTAGTGATATTCAACTAGCAACTACAGTAGCTAGTTTTGTAAGCCGTCGTCAATCATCATCATTATTATCATAATCATCAACATCATCATCATCATCATCGCCATCACGCATACATAAATATTGATATTATTAAAAAATCATGTTTTCATTTTTGATAGGGTTGATACAACCAAACGTAAACGGGACATTGTGTTAACAATCGAAAGAGGGTAGGGAGGGAGGGAGGGAGGGGAAGGGAGGGAAAAGAAGAAAAACGCGATATACCGATAATAATAATACTAATACTAATGATAATTATAATTGTTTTTAAATTAATAATAATAATAATAATAAAAATTACTAACTAATTAACTGGATTGTATTTTAATAATTGAAATGTCAAAAGGTGTTCGGTAACATAGCGCTCAACCCGGATGAATCCATTAATCGTCATAACAACTTCCGGAGCTTTTTTCAGGGTCTAATGCTTCTGTTCAGGCAAGTTTTCAAATTTTTTCCTTTTTTTTTTTCCTTTTTCTTTTTCTATTCTATTCTAGAATTTTGACATTATTAATAATAATAATAACAACAATAATAAAAGACGGTGCTTTTTTTTTTAAAATGTATATTACATGCGTTTATGCAACAATTTATGCAAAAAAAAAAAAAAATTTACGGAGGGGATTTATATGCACTTTTAAGGGGGAGGGAGGGGAAAGGAGGATGAAAGGATGAGGAGGAGGGGAAGGGTAAAGGGTAAAGGGGTGAAGGTTCAAACCTGAATAATTATATCGAGAGTTAGCGAGTAGAAAATTAAAAAAAAAAAAAGGAAAAAAAAAAATTTTAATTCAAATACGTTAAAACCGGTTTGTATTATTATCATTATCATCATGTATAGTAATGATAATGATAATTGATTACGAGTAAATATTATACATAAAATAGGAAATGTAAAAAATAAGACATTATTTATCATAAAAATCATTAAAAAACATGCATCGATTGGCATGATGATCGTCGTGGGTGGTTGGTGCATTGAAAATTTTGCATGATTGTTTATAAATGTCGAAGCATTTCAATAAAAACAAAAAGTTAAGTTTATATATATATATATACATAAGCGTAATAATAATAATAATAATAATAATAATGAGGAAATTTTAAACGGAAAAAATATTTAATTAATTTGTTTAATTATAAAATTCTATTCAATTCGATATAAATAATAAAATCATTTAATTGTAAAAAAAGTTTAGGAAATGACGTCATATCAAAAAGGTATAAGCGCATGATTATGTGTTTTTTTATGTTTTTTAATCATTATTATTATCAATAATTAAAAATGGATACTGATAAATTTATTGTGTCTCGCGGATTTAGATGTGCTACGGGTGAAGCCTGGCCTTCCATAATGTTATCATGCATAAAAGATCGACCCTGCGACGTACGTGCCAACAAAGGTTCCGAAACCTGCGGGTCTAATCTCGCCTACGCTTATTTTGTTTCGTTCATATTTTTTTGTTCCTTTCTCGTAAGTCGTCTTCTGCTATTTATTTAATAATATTGATCACGTGATGATGATGATGATGATGATGATGATAACAATATTTTAATCGTTTCAGATGTTAAATTTATTCGTGGCTGTTATTATGGATAATTTTGATTATCTGACCAGAGATTCCTCAATATTAGGTGCCCATCATCTCGATGAATTTGTTAGAATATGGGCCGAATATGATCCTAATGCTACGTGAGTCAATGATGATAATGATAATGATGATGATGGTAAATTTTCTCGGAGATTGAAAGGAAATTAACGAATTGTTTTTGTCTGCAGGGGTAAAATAGATTATACTGAAATGTACGACATGTTAAAAAATATGGACCCTCCTTTGGGGTTTGGAGCAAAGTGCCCAAATAGATTAGCGTATAAAAAATTAATAAGAATGAACATGCCGGTCGACGATAAGGGAAAAGTTAATTTCACAACGACTTTGTTTGCTCTCATACGTGAAAATTTAAGCATAAAAGTGAGAGCGGGTGAGTCGGTGTTTGCATCCCGTTTAAAAAGAAAATCCTTTTGTGACGACGAATTATCATCATCATTATTATTATTTCAGCTGAGGAAATGGACCAAGCGGATGAAGAATTGAGAAAAACAATAATGAAAATATGGCCGTTGCAATCGAAAAAAATGATTGATTTATTAGTACCGCAAAAAGAAGGTAAAAATATTTTTTTTTTATTTATTTTCCTACGATTCAAGGGGACAATTTGCGCCAATTTTTTTTTTTTGCTCTTATTGTTTTGTATTTTGTAGAATTAGGCAAGGGAAAATTAACGGTTGGAAAAATATATGCCGGACTTTTGATACTCGAAAGTTGGAGATCGACGAGATTTGGACAAATCGAATCCGCGGGTGTTCCGGTAAGACTTTTTTTATTTTCCATTTACTAATATTTATTATATATGAGAAAAAGGAAAATTTACTATTATTATTATTATTATTATTATTATTATTATTATTATTATGAAAAATTTCATTTCCCTTCGATGAGTGATTGAAGAAGAAGAAGAAATTATTATTATTATTATTGTTGTTTGTAACACGAACACACTCACACAACAAACACACACGTGGTGTTATTTTTTGCTCACGGTAAATATTCAATTTGATTTTAATTGAAAACACAACGATAATAATAATAATGATTTTGATGATGATGATGATGTTGTTTAAAATTTAACGAAGGAGGAAATGAAATTTTTTTTTTTTTTTTTAAGTATGTAAGAATGTTAAAAAAGGACTGATTAAATATCCAGAAGAAAGAGAGAGAGAGAGAGAGAGAGAGAGAGTGTGTGATCCTTCGAAAGGATATTTGAGAATAATGATGATTATTTAACGTAAGAATCTTCTCTCTCTCTCTCTCTTTAAATTTTGCTTAAAGAAAAGGAGTAATTTTAAGTGAAAAAAAAAATCCCGAAGGAGACTTTTTTTTTGGAAAAGTACACAAAGGTGCGGGGGACCGTGGGAAAATTTTTTAAGTTTATTTATGACGTCATAAAGAAAATTTATTTATCAGTTTTATAATGAATGATAATAGCCAAAAAAAGAATTTTTTTTTGTTGTATTTGGATTTTTGATTCATTTGAGGTGGTGAAAACGTTAAAAAAAAAAAACAAAAGCAAAAATAATAATAATAATGTTATTGATTGATAATGATGATGATAAGATTGTTCCCTATTATTTGTTTTTCCTTTTAAAAATTAAAAAAAAAGGGAATTTTTGAATTGTGTAACGTGTCGTGTTTAATTTCAGGGACTTGGTGGCCATAGTCCGACTAATAATAATGAGGCGGTACCGTAGATTTTTATATTTTATAGATTTCTTTTTTCTTTTTTTTTTTAAAATTTTTTTACTCTATGATTTTCTTTTTTTCCCTCTCCCTCCCTCTCTCTCTCTCACTCCCCCTCCCATTTTATTACCTCTCTCTCTGTCTCTCACTCCCCCTCTAAGTTATTACCTCCCCTTTCTCTCTCTCGCTCTCTTCCTCCCATTTTTTTTTTTTTACTTTTCGCCTGTTTTAGTTTTAAAAAACAATTTTCTCCCCCCCCACCCACCATGTTTTAAATTCAGGTTTCGATTAATTTTATTTATTTATTGATTTTTTACTTTTTCTCCTCGATTTATTCTTATTTTATTTTTTTTAAAAAAAAACGTTTTCGAACATTTCGAATATTTTTATACTTGTTACGTTGAAAAAAAAAAAAAAAGAAAAACATACAGCATATATGTGTATATATATATATACCTACGTGGGAAAGCATGTGCGTAACATATGCATAACATATGCGCAACATATATACATACATATATATACGTTACGTGTGTTGAAATTTTTTTTTTTTTTTTTTTTCGCATGTGGAAACTTTGATTGATTGCGCATGATGAGTTCTTGACAATATTAATTATATAGCCTTATTCCCCCCTTCTTCCCCTTTCCCCCACCCAGTTTCATATTTCTTATTATTTTTTCAAATGAGTAGATGACTTTGATGATGATGATGATGATAATAATTTTCTTGAATTTTTCTTTAAACCCCCTTTCTCCCCCCCCCCTACAAGCTCTCTTAAATGATGAAATTTATTATTAAAAAAAAAAAAAAAAAATAATACATGAGTTCAAAAATAAATTCGTTTCTCGAACAAAACACCGGATTTGTCGCATATCGAATAACAAACAAACAAACAACAAACGAACAAACGAAAGGAATTTCATATTCGATATATCGAAATTATATTATTATTATTATTATTAATCGATATTAAAAATCGTTTTGTTTCGAATGCTGTATCGATTAATGAAATCTGAATTGAACGTGATGAAAGAGAGAGATGTTTCCTTATAATCGATCGATATATCGAATATGTTTGGATGCGTGCGTGCGTTCGTGGGTGCGTGCGTGTTTTGAATCGAGAAACGCGTGTTTACGTCGAATTCGTCGAATTACGCATATGCGAATTCGATGTAAAAATTGATTATTTTTTTTTTTTGCATGGTTTTTTTTAAAAATATTTTGATTGAATTTATTTATTTATTTATTTATACACACGAAAAACGAATATGCACACACACACACACAAACAAACAAACAAACACAAACACGCGCAAACAAACACAAATTAATAATAATTTGTCGATTGATCGATCACGTGTGTGTACATATTATTACTATTATTATTATTATTTTTTCTCGTTTCGCAAAGTAGATTACTATTATTATTATTTATTTATTTATTTAATATCGTTACACGTTAAAAAAAAAAAAAAAATTGGCTCACGTTGATTATTTATAATACCGATGATGATGGGGCGGAACGGAATGGAGTGGGCGGGGCATGGCGGGAGGAGAGAGAAGTGGGCGGGAAAACGAAAATAATAATGATAATAATGATAGAATTCATTTGTTGTCGTCGTATTCGTTGAAAGTTTGTTGAATTCATTATTATTATTATTATTATTATTGTGACGTAATTAATAATTTAACGATGTGTGTTATATGATTCGCATACTAATCGCGGGGGTGTGGGAGCGGGAAGGGAAGGGAGGGAGGGGATTTTTTGTTTTTTCAACATGGTTTAAATTATATTTTTGTATTCGTCATTTTTTTAACAAAATAATCGTTGGAAAAAAAAGAAAAATAAACAGAAATTATTATTATTATAAATTTTTTTTTTTTAAAGAGTTTTAGGGTATCCGCCATGATGATGATAATAATAATTACGCTTTTAATAATATCCCGAGTTGTTTTTTTTCGCGCGAAAAATCTAGAATTTGAATTTTTTGTTTCGACCGCCTTTTAAAAAAAATCTTATTCATTTTATTATTATTATTATTATTATTTATTTTATTTTATTTTATTGTAAAAAAAAAAAAGAAAAAAATTTTCCAACCATTCGATAATTGTTAAAAATATGACGTTATATATATATTTAAATATACATAAATATTTATTTATTATTAAAAAAAAAAAAAAAAAAAAAAATTCGCGTGCCTTTATTTTGAACATTAGAAAACGTCATTCTTCAACTGCTTGCTGGATATGGCTGGAGTCGGTCAATGGGGTGCTCAAAATAGGAATTCCCTCGATGCCCCCGAGCCCGAAGAATCCCCGGGTTTGCTTTTGGGGAAAAATACAGCCAACCGGGGTTCCCGGTTTCAACGTCTTCCCCCCCCTTTTCCTTATCCTTATGGTTTTTTTTTTCCTTAATTATAATTAATTGATTGTTTTTGTTTGTTTTTTTTTTTTTATCTCGTTCCAGGAATAAAAAGGTGAAATGTGTTTTTTGGAATAGAAAAAAAAAAAAAAAAAAAAAAAAAAAATTTCCCTTTGATATCGTTTCCGAAAAAAAACTTCCAAAAAACAAACAAAACCCTAATACAAAAAAAAAAAAAAAAAAGGTTCGATTCGATGGAAACCCCTCCCCCCCCCGAAAAACACGGTTAGAAAATAAATAAGGTAGTTTTTCTTTTTTAACAACGACGATGATGATAATAATAATTATATCTTTTTTTTAGATTTTTTTTTAATAATAAAAATGCGATTTAGATGGGTAGAAAAAAAAAATAATTCGAATAATAATTTTTAGCTTTATTATTATTATTATTATTATTATTTATTAATTATTATTATTATTAATTAATTAATTGTAATTTTTTTTTTTTTTTTAAATAACAATAGTTGCGATTAAGTTTTTTTTAGAGGGGAGCAGACGCCTTTATGTAACTTTTTTTTTTTTTTAGTTGGGGAAAAACATGGCGTCGCGTTATTATTATTATTATTATTATTTAAGCGCTTACGTAGAATATTTCGCTGATGAGTTAATAAATAAATAAATAGAGGGAGGGGAAAAAACCTTCGTTTGCCTTCGACGCCTTTTTAAAACGATGATAATAATGATGATGATGATAATGATAAGAAATGTAAAGGCGAGATGGATGAAGAATCAAGCGAGGGTTTTAAATATAGATTAAATAGATTTTTAGTACGAGTAGTTGAATATTAGACGAAAGAAAATAATAATAATAATAATAATAATAATGATGATGATAACGATAATAATGATAACAGTGTAAATTTTTATACAAGATAGAAAAAGTCTAGAGAAGAAAAAATTATTATTTTACAATAGGGAGTAGGTGGTATAGAGTAGGAAGGAAGAAAAAAATGGAAGAATTTTTTTTTTTTTTTTTTTTAAATCGAATTTTCTTTGTTTTTCCACAAAAACAAAAAACAAAAATGGCGGACGATTCAATAATTCGATGATGATTGATAACGGCGACGAAGAGTTTATCATAATGAAAGAAAAAAAAAAAAAAATTCTTTAATTCGTGAGCAAACGATGAGAAATTATTTATTGTAGTCTTCATAAAAAAATTTTTTTATTCTTCTTCTGTTTCTTGCACTTACGACTACACGTGCACACACACGTGTGCGCTCGCACTCACACACACGTGTGAAAGGATTTAGAGTATTAATTAATTGATTAATCTTATTATTTACCCGTGCATGAAATTTTTTTTTTTTTTTACAATATTAATAATAATAATAATAATAATAATAATATAATTTTTTTCGTGCATGTTTTATAAAAAATTTAAATTAATTTGAGGTCTTGTAGTTATTATGGTAGTTTTATTACTATTATTATTATTATTAATATTATTATTATTACTTTTGCAGTATTTCATTAGTAATTTTTTTTTCTTAGGCTCGTGATCATTTTTTTTTCTATTCCTTTTTTTTCTTCTTATTATTATTATTGTTGCTCAAATCGAAATGATATTTATCATTCCTAATTTTTCTCCCTTCCCTCCCCCTCCATTTCCCCCTGTTTTTTTTTTATTGATTTTTAATCGATGAAATCGAATTCTTACATTTTAAAAAAAAAAAAATGGCGCTCGAATAAATTTTAAAATTAAAAAAAAAATAATAATGAAAGAAAGAATTTATTCGGGTGCGTTTTTCCAAAACGAAATGGAAAAAATTTTATTATTAAATCAAACAAACAAACGAACAAACGTACAAACAAACAAACAAACAAACAAAATGAAAAATTAATGACGCAGGTGAACGATTTACAAAATGTCACAATTGAATCTCGAAGGCCTTCATTAGAATCATTACAAGGTGACCAAAATCATCGATTGCATCCTGGTTATGGTGATCAATCGACAAGAACTCCTAGTTTTAGGTAAAACAATAAATTTATTATTATTATTATCGATGATTGTGTTTTAATACTGATGATGATGATGATGATGATGATGATGATTTTTTTTTTACAGAAGAAGAAAATCTCCTAGTTTTATGTACAAAGGTGTTTCGCCAAGGAGAGGAGGTCATCCTCAGCAACACGATATCGGTTTTAGCGATACCGTATCGAACGTTGTAGATATAGTTAAACACGATAGAAGAGGAAAACCGAAAGGTTTGTTTTAATGCTATAAGGCCCCCCACACGCACACACTACCCCCCCCTTTCTCCCTCCCCTTCCTCCCTATAAGTTTCGGTTAAACTAACGTAACTTTTTTTTTCCAATTTTCTGCTTACGTCATCATCGACGCAGACGGTAATTAATCACAGTCTATTATTATTATTATTATTATTAATGTAAAATGGCGGGAATGATGATGATAATGATGATTGTTTTTTTTTTTTTTCACGTAAAGGTACTTGGTCGACTTCGACGAGTCCGGCAAGATCTCCGAGCCCTTCGAGGGTCCGTTACTACTCGAACCGTTCGCGTGCATATGGGACCACATCTCTTGAGCAAAGATCGAGATCACCGTCGCCGACGGGCGATCGCGGACCCCCGCCATCAGTTCATCATCATCATTTTCATCATCATTCTCATCAGCACAGTTATCCGGTATTGGTGACGAGAAGAGGTCACGGACGAAGATTGCCGGCGACTCCGAGCAAACCTTCGACTTTGCAACTCCGGCCGTCGAGCATAAATTTTCCCAAATTAAACGCTTCACCGACTCATTGTCCTCCTTTGTCATCATCATCCGGCGGTCATCATCAAATAACAACGGGACAATATTGTCCGTTGAGTTTCGAACAAGCCGTGGCGATCGGTAGAGGTGGAAGAGTACTTCCGTCTCCTCTTTTAAACGGTTACAAACCCGGACAACAGCAACATCAGCATCAACATCAACAACGACCGAGAAGGCACAGCGATTCGGACGAAGATGATTGGTGCTAGCTAATACTTGACTAACCAATCATAATTGGTTAGTGATAACGATAAAGAGGGTAATGTTAAGATTCGTTTTTTTTTTTTCCACCCCCCCCCCATCCCCCACCCTCTTATCACTTATTCGAACTCTATAAATATATATATATATAAATATATAAATATTCAAATAGGATTTTTATATAATTAAAAAAAAAAAAAAAAATTTTGCCAATAGTTATGGCGACGAGTACTAACTAATTAACTAACTAACTAATTAATATTATTATTATGAAGTCGGGGGGTTTTTTTTTTTTTTTTTTTTTTTTTTTTTTTTTTTTTTTTTTTTTTTTTGAATATCAACGATGGCGGACGCTTTAATTGTGCCCCATAATAATAATTTATTTTATTATTATTATTATTATTATTATTATTTTTTGAAAAAAAAAAGAAAAAAGAAAAAAAGAAAACTCATTTTTAATGGAAAACTATTTAATTAACACCCATTCCCACCCCACCCCCCCACAATTCGACCAGTGATTATGACGATGACGTCATTAATATAATTAATTAACGTGGGTCCTTCTTTTTTTCTTATTTTTATTTTATATTGAACGTTATTAATTATTATTATTATTATCGTTATGTACATAAACGTTATTGTTATTAAAATAATAATAATAATTTTTTTATTTATTTGAAGTTGTGATTCGTTTAAGAGATTTTCGAATTAATATCGTTTAATTATTTAATGACGTCATTGTTTAATAAAAATTATTGAATTTAATAATAACAAATGATGATGATGATGATGATGATAGTTAAAAAAAAGAATTCATACGTTCGATCAAAATAATAATAATAATAATAATAATAATAATAATAAATTCGGTTTTAAAGAAAACGCATAGACACACACACACACACACACACATTCTCTCACTCACTCACTCACACACATAATTATTAAATAAATAAATAAATAAATAATTCTTTTATTTAAATAAATAAATAAAATTATATTAAAATAATAATAATGCCTTTAAATTAACAAAAAATAATTATAATAATAATAATAATAATAATAATATTAATATATTTCGTTCGAAACGTTCGTTTTTTTATTAAGCAAAGAAAAATTTATTTATTTACTTATTTATTTTATTTATTTATGTATTTATTTATTTACTGTTTCGTCATCTTGTAAATAACCGAAGAAAATTTAACAAAAATTTAAAAAAAAAAAATTAAATAAATAAATAAAAAAAAATAACCGTCCAGTTCGGTGATAAAAATATTATCATTATTATATATATATAAATATAAATATAATTTGACAGTAATTTAAAAAAAATATGGCGATATAAAATTAATTATAATTTTTTCAGTGGGGAGGCTCAGGTAATACACAAAAGCATTATTTAATCGTATTTATAATAATAATAATAATAATAACAGTGGGAAAAAACGATGGTAAGAGATATTTAATTATTATTATTATTATTATTATTGGTATTCTAATTAAATTACTCGTATTTATCATTACCATTATCAACACACACACACACACACACATATACAAATGCAATTTTTTCCCCTCCCTTTTTTTAACTCTTCATTCCCCTCCCCTCTCGTTTCGCTTACCTCCCCACTTCCCGCCCACTCGTTACGACCCTTTTCCACCGGGAAAAGAAAATAATAGTAGTAATGATAATGATAGCCGCCGCCGCCGCCGCCGCCGTCGTCGTCGTCGTCGTCATTATTATTATTATTAATATCGTCGTAAATATTACTGTTATTTTTATTATTATTATTATTATTATTATTATTATTATTATTATTATTATTAAAATTAAATAAAATTATTGAAATTTAAATTTATTTATTATTAAAGGGCCGAGCTGCGATATTTGCGATATTTTTATTTATTTATCTATTATTATTATTATCATTATCATTATCATTATTATTGTTATTATTATTATTATTATTATTATTAAAATTGTTAGTATAAATTTATTTATTTATTTTTTCTTCTTTTGTAAATACTTATTAATAAATAAATAAATGAAAAAAATTTAAAAAACAAAAAAAAAGCATTGTAAATTAATTAATAATAATAATAATAATAATAATATTAATAAATTTTTTTTATTCAATTTAAAATTAATAAATTATTTAAATAATAATAATAATAATAATAATAAAACAAATTTTCGTAATTTAAAAAATATAATAAACAAACAACACAAACAAAATGAGAAATAAGAAAAAATTAAATTGATTTTTACAAAAATTGTTATTATTAATTAAAATTATTATTATTATTATTATTATTATTATTATTATTATTATTTATTTATTTATGTATTTATTTATTTTTATTTTTTATTAATATTGAGTTAATATGCTTTTAATTGATTATTTAATAATTTAAAAGTGGTTTGCCAAGAACAAAAAAAAATAAATAAAAAAAATTCGTAGATTTATTACATACCCAATAATAATAATAATAATAATAATGATAATAATAATAATTTTTTTCTCTTTTTCTTCTTCTTCTTCTTCTTCTACTTTCTGTTTTACATATAAAATAATTAAAGCACAAAAATTATTAATTAATAAAAGCCCCAACCCCCCCTCTTAATAAATAAAAAAATTAATTAATCAATAAACTTGTTATTATTTGATTATTATTATTATTATTATTATTATTATTATTATTATTATTATTATTATTATTATTATTATTATTATTATTATTTAAATTATTAAAAATGTAAGAGATGTTCGCGTTATATTATATTAAATAAAAAATTTTTAGACCTGCACATGCAAGTACATAAATAAATAAATAAACAAAAATTAATAAATAAATAAAAATAAAAAATTATAAAAAAAAAATAAATAAATAA